CTGAGAAGCAGGTAGGGGAAGAATCTGGAGGTAAATCAGGGTCAGACTGAAACTTCAGAGGATGGCAGTGTGGCAGGGCAGCCACCTGAGGACAGAAGGATCCAGAAGACAGGTGGGGCGTAACAAGGGCCTCTAGGGGGTGCAGCCAGTACTCCAGGAAAGGAGGGAGTGTCTGCCTCCAGGTTTTGGGGGTAAGGAGGGAGGCTGGGGCAGGAATCAAGGAAGGATACTCAGGGGGTAGTGTTCAAGGTGGGTATGGACAGGTGGGAACCAGGGGGAGGGGAAGGCACTCAGGAGGGAAAAACATGAGCCCGGGCACAGAGGTGATAAACTGTGGGGTGCAGCCTGCCGGAGTCCCCCGTGGTGCCTCTTGAGGCCCCGTTTTTATTACCCTGTTTTATGCACATAGAAACCAGAGTACAGATGGGTGAGACTGTGCAAGACTTGCTCAAGGCTTCACAGCTAAGCAGCATGGCTGGGATCTGACTCTCTAATCTAGGTGCAACCACACCCCACGTGGCCACAATTCCCATCAGGAAGGAGCAAGTCCAGAGGCAGGTGGTGAGTGAAAAGGACAGTGGGTCAGAAACGGGGAGACCCTCACTCCAACCTCAGCTCTCCTTAACCTGTGGTGGGACCTGAGATGAAGAGTTTAACTCCATTTTGTAAATAATCATTTACATATTTGTGTCTTTTGTGTCTTTTTTTTTTTTTTTTTTTTTTTTTTTAGTATTCCACATGAGTGATACCATACGGTACTTTCTCTTTCTGGCTTACTTCACTTAGAATGACCATCTCTAGGTATTGACACAACATTGTAAGCTGACTATACTTCAACTGAAAAACAAACAAACAAACAAGTTTAACCCGGGAACCCTGTGCTGCCCGGGAGCCACTGGCCACATGCAGCTACTGATACTTGACATGTGGCCAATCTGAACTGAGAGGGGCTGGCAGTGTGAGATACACACCAGGTTTCCCAGCTTTAATACGAAGAAAAGCACAGGAAAGATCTCAATAATTTCAGTGTTGGTCTCATGTTAAAATGAGAATATTTTAGACATAATGGGTCAAATAAAATATATAACTAAAATGGATTTTATCTGCTCCTCTTAACCTTTGTTTAACGTGTCTATGAGGAAATTTAAAAGTACACGTGTGGCTTGAATTATATTTCTATGGGACAGCGCTGATTTAACCTCTTTGAGCCTGGCTCTCCAACTACACAGGGATGTATAGCCATACTTCCTAGCCCACATTGTTAGGATAGTTCTGAAAGTATCTGGTACTACAGGGAAACAAGGTGTTATTAAATATTAGTATCAATTTTCCTTTGTCTTTTGAAGGTTGTCAGGTTTGGGGTTTTTTCGGCTGGAGCTGTAATGCTTGGAGGGGCAGAGGGTGGTTCTGACTTGGTGCTTCAGGAAATCCAACCTAAGACTCCGCACAGGAAAATGAGCCTGGGTGGAAGCCGGTGGCAGGGGCCGTGGAACAGGCAGGGTTTTAGCTGTAAGGCATTTTGGATGCTTGAGACTTCGCCTGCAGAGGGAGGCCTCTCCTCCAGCCTGGGCTGTTTTCTGCTGTGTTCAACAGCAATCACAACAATTCTGAGCACTGTGTGCCACTCACCTTAGCAACATTCTCTCCAGCTCTCACAAAGCCCTATGACTGGCCCCCTTTCACATGGAGAAATTTGAAATTCAGAAATGTGCTAGGTGCTCCGCTCAAGGGCATGCAGTTAGTAAGTGGATGAGCTGCGATTCAAATTGAATCTGCCACAGAGGCCCAAGTCTGTCAAACATCAGGACGAGGCCCTGTGCCTGCAGAGTGCCCATTCTCTGGGCTGCCTGAGGGGGGGGTGCAGAAAATGACCATGATTTCTTAGTGGCGTCTTCTTGGGGTTTTGTCCATGTGCAATGTAGAAGAGAGACTTCCAGAAGGAATTGGAGGGTACAAAGGACGGAGAGTCCCTGGGGAAGCATCGGGGCCAGGAGGTCTCAACCTCGGCCACACGTCAGCATCACTGGGAGCTGATGCCTGGATCCCCACCTCCAGACCCTGGTGTAACTGGACTTGGAGGCAGTCTGGGCAGTTCTTTTAAAATAAACTCCTCAGGTGATGGCATCGTGCAGGAAGGGTTGAGAGCCCCTCCTCTAGGGCTGGGCCAACCCCTTTAATATCCAGACAGGAGTCCGAAGCTCCAGATGAAACTAGCTAGGCCTTTGCTTCTACCCAGCTGCATGACCTGCACCCACCCTCTCCCCATCCTGCAAACAGGAGGATGGGTGGGCCAAGACCCACCCTCATCTACCTATGAGCTGATTGATGGCAGAGGCTCAAACTTTTAAAAGGGCGTCCTGGTTATCCTGATAATTTTCCAGCAGCCAGTCCGACCTGAGCCTCTGTTACATGTCACTTGGGCAAGTGTCATTTCCTATCTGAACCACAGGGTCCCCATCGGTCAAGCGGAGAGAATTCTACCGACACCCAAAGACACTGCTGTCAGCTGGAAGTGCTTCTCCAGCTCAGGCCAAATGTTAGTTACGCCTGTGATTAGCATTCTTCTCCAAGAATTCAGGGCAACTGGGGGCTGACTGAGGAATACTAGAGAGCGCTGGCTGCATGACGTGGTACTGGCTACACTGTATCTGTGGACTCAGGAGGGCCTAATAGTTGTGTTTGACTGTGTGTAGGATACAGGAGGTCAGGACAAGAACACAAATGTCTGGCCTGTGGAGGAAGCACAGGGGCTCCACTCACACCCTCCACTCTCAGCTGGTACCACTCCGTCGCCCGGCCACCTTCCACTTCCTCAAACAAGCCTACCTCTTCCTACCTCAGAGCCTCCTCTGGGGCCCACAGTGTTAGGGGGTTCCCCAGGAGCCCTGGGTGCACTGTGCCCATGAAGATGGCTGAGCTGCCAGTAGCCCCCTTTCCCAGATGGGGAGGGTGAGGCAAAGAGCAGCTGGGGTTCACTGGGGTCAAGCGGTGATCAGGTAGGTGTGGTAGACAGGATAATACTCTCCCCAAGAAGCCAATGTCTTAACTCCTGGGACCTGTGAATATGTTGCCTGACACAGAGGGCCCTTGCACGGTGTGATTAAAGATCCTGAGATGGGGAGATTATCCTGGTGGGCCCATAATCACAAGGGCTGAGAGTCAGAGAAGGAGATGTGATGATGGAAGCAAGAGACAGGGAGAGAGACTGGGGAGGGAGGTGAAGGGGAAGGTGGGGGAGGTGAAGGAAGGAGGGAGAGAGACAGGGAGGAAAGTGGTGGGGGAGAGGGAAGGAGGGAAGGACTTGAAGATGTCACGCTGCTGGCTTTGAAGAAGAAGGGCGCTTGGGGCCAAAGAACGTGAGCAGCCTCTTGAAGCCGGAAAAGGCAAGGAAAGGGATTCCTTCCCAGAGCATCGAGAGGAAGCACAGCACAGCTGACAGCGACTTAGCCCAATAAGACCTTTTCAGAAGTCTGACTTCCCAAAGTTTAAGACAATAAACTCGTGTTGTTTTAGTATGCTTGCAGTAATTTACTACCGCAGCAATAATTAGGAGACTGATCAGGAATCTAATAGAGCAGGAGAGATGGGACTTTGGCTTTGTACCCAGAGATCTTCCCACACCTCTGGCAGGAGAGCTGGAGTGGCTCACATGACAGCTGCAGGGATGGAGAGCCCCTTATGGAAGGAAGGACATTTCTGGAGCTTGGGGTACCAGAGAGGGACTGTCCTGGGGCCTCAGGCTCCTTATCTGCAAGGGGCTGGGGTCCACCACCTGTAAGTTCCCTTCAGCTTTCATACCCCAGGATGCTATGGCTCCAGTCCACGTGCCCCCACACCTCCACCACAGGATAAGCTGGCATTTCCCTAATAATTCAAAGAGGGTGCAACTGAAGGATGGGGAATTGGCTCCAGAGGCAGACAGACCTGCACGGTATCTGGCCTTTGCCATTTCATAGCTGTGTGACCTGGAAAGGCTGCTTAACCTCTTGGAAACTTGGTGTCCCTATTTGGAAAACGCAGATAATTTTTACTACAACAGTAATAACTGGTTGTTGGGGGTGTGCCTGGCACTTAGAAAGTGTTCAATAAATGGTGTGACGATGGCGAAGACCACGAGATGATTACAACTGTCAGCCGCCCCCTGCTGGCAGTCCTGGGGTGCGCAAGGAAGAGGTGACCAGCTTGGTGGTCCATGAGCCAAGGTTCTGTGACAAGCTGGGAGGAGCTATGCTTCTGGTCGGGGAGGTCTGCACTGGCCCCTCTGTGCTGGACTTCTGGGGGGAGGTGGCGATCCTGAGTCGTGTGTGTGTTGGGGAAAGGTCACTGGGTTGGCCACTGGGATCGGCCTGGGTCGCTTGCACTTACTCAAATGGGTCGCTGGGGTCAGCTTTCTGCAGCTCTGGTGGGATCGGGATCCGCTTATAGTACATCTCCCAGTCAAAGGCGCCCCGCATGGCATCCCCGGCCTGTGTCTCGTACCGAAAGTCGTCGTGGTCAATCACATCAATCATGGGGCACACGATGGTCTTGCGGTTCCGAGCGATGCGGTCTGCAGAAGCCAAGAGATGCCCATTAGGGAGGCAGGATGGGGGAGCAGCTATGTGCATGACTCTACTCTGCAACTTACATTTTTAACACATTCTCTGGGTGATTTCTCTGAACACATGAGTCGGAGAATCCATGAGGCAGGACGAGCACAAGCTTTAAGCAACATGGACCAGGGCTCCTAGCGCATCCTGCCGGCCGTGAGGGGGCGCTGGGCCAGCTGCATAAATGACGTCTCTGAGCCCCAGCGTTTTCCTCTGTGAAATGGGGAGCAGAGGCCCTGGTCGCAGGAGTACCGGGTACAGCAATGTTTGAAGGTTAGCACAGGTGCCTGCCACCCGCAGCACTGCTACGGAAGGACAGATCCACTTCCTTCTGGGGGCCCCTGCAGCCAGGCACCCCAGCACTTGTCCCTCACGGCAGGTCGCCTGCCCCTGGCAGCTCCCCCACGCCTCCTGGCTGCCGTCAGAGAACAAGTGGGCTTCCTTGTGAGAGTCCAGCTCACTTTTTCCAACGGTCAGAACTTCTGAAGAGGGAATGGAATAGACTATCCCACGAGCTCTTCAGGACTGGAGGTGCGCCAGCAGGGCCTGGCGGACCCGTGCCCTGCAGGAAGGCTGCAGGCTCGGGGATTCAAGATGGCAAATGGGAGTCTTCACCTAGATGGCTCTACATCCCTTTCAAGCCAGGGAGAGGCTGACTCTATACAATTCCGTCCGCCCTTCAGTGTGCCTCCTGCCAAGAAGCCCTGACTACATGCGGGAGGTGCCAGCGACTGAGGCAGATGATCTGCCGTGAGGGACACGTGGGTGATGCTGGGGTGCCTGGCTGCTTGAGCCAGGAGTCAAGTTCAAGACTTGCAATGGGGAGCCTGGTAGGGCCAGTGTAGGCTAGCAGCTGCCCAGGGCCCAGGCTTCGTCAAACTACAGCAGATTCTTCTGCCAGGAGAGAAAGCAGCCATTTTGTCTTTTTCTAAACTGCAAGTCACGATCCACAGGAGGGTCATGAAATTGTGTGTGTGTGTGTGTGTGTGTGTGTTTGTAATGAAGCAGGAAAGAATACTGAATGGCAGGGTGCATTCTAGGTGATAAGAGAAAGCACTGTTTCAGGAAATGTGTTCCAATCACTCTGCAGCAGAGTGTGCACTTGTGCAGTGGACTGACCTGTCCAGTGTATTTCTGACTGTGGCACACAATCAAAAATGTCTGGGAAATGCTGCCTCGTGGACAGGCTCCTTAGGGATTCTAAAGGAAGCTGAAGAATCTTCCCAGGGAAAGCTCTAGAAATGGGCCTCCCTTCCTAATTATTCATGGCCATGTCGGGGGGTTCACTTCCAGGGAGGGTGTGGGCTGAGGACACAGTCCTCTGCTGGATGCTGGCTGATTGTGAGAGGTGTGATGTCAATGGGGTGGCATCAGAGAGGCAGCATTCCACAGGGCTGTACTCACTGGGGGAACAGAACGCCCAGGTGCAAACCCTGGTTCTGTCACCTACTAACAGTATAGTCTTGGACAAGGTTATTTGATGCCCCTGAACCTGGCTTCCTGGCCAACAAAATAGAGGGAGGGAGATACCACCTATCTCATGGGGCTTCTGTGAAGACTAAGTGGGACCAATTGGGCCACAATGCTCGAGCATGTGACCAGCCCTCTGACCACAGTCTCTGTGCCCGAGATTGCTGAAAGCAGCTCTGAAAGGAGTTGGAAAGCTGAGCATCCCCCTCGATCTCTCTGCCCTTCAGTTTTCTCAGTTGCAATATGTGGATAATAATGCCTGGCCTGTCTGTTTTATCACATCAAAAGTGGCCTAAAAAGCTAAGGGACTAGCAGAGCCATGATGATGATGGTGGTGGTGAAGGTGGAGATGAAGAAAATGATGGCCAACAGTGGCTCTCCTTTGGGAGGGCTGCCGAGATCCGTCTCAGGCTCAGAAATGCCTGCTCTCCAAGGAAGGCAGAGTGAGTTGTGCTTGGAGGTACTCATGGTTTCAGAGACAAAAAGCCATGATGGGCTCATATGAGCAGGGACAAACTTTCATATCTACACCACTGGTTCACATTTCCAGTGGAAAAAGGGGGAAAAAAAGGAGGAAGGCTGTTTCTTCCATGTATGTCTGCAGATTATGAAAATTACCCTCGTACATTACCATAGAAACAGAGTTCAGGCTGTTTGGGCTACAAGCTCGGCCTCAGGTACTACCATTTCATTCTCTTTATGAGTCACTGAGTGACCCACCAAATGGGATATTCCTTCAGGACTATAAATTAGGCGACTTATAGTGAGGTTTTTCCCCTTTCTGTTCTCTTTCAGTAATGAGGGGCAGATGTGGAAGAGCTCTTGGTTTAATTAAATAGTTTGCCAGAAAATCTGTTTTACCCTTTTCCTGACCCAGGGGTATGCTGGGCCCTTAAAATCAAAAACATAATTTAACACTAAAGATCCATACTGATCTGTGTTAGGAAACACATTTGCTGAGTTATCCCATGAGCCTGGGTAGTTTTGCTTTCTCTCCTCATTTCTGAATGGTGGCCTAACCAGTGCTTCCCGAAGTGTAGTCCCGGGGCCAGCAGCACTGGCCTCACCTGGGGGCTGTGAGGAATGCAGCCTCTCAGGCCCCACCCTGGAACTCCTGAGTCAGAAACTCAGGAGTGGGGCCAGCACTCTGGGTTTTAACAAGTCTGCTAGGTGATTCTGATAACCCTCAAGTTTGCCCTAAACTTGAGTCCTCTTTGCTCCCTAAGCTTTTTGTTAGGAAGAGTGTTCCCATCCATTTTTAAGGTGTTTCCTTTTCTCCGTGGATTGATAGATCTTCCCCCATCTGCCTCATCTCTGTCCCTCACCTGACTCCCAGTCCCAGTAGAACATTTCCTCTTTGCTCTCCACCTGTCAGCAGCAGCTCACTGCCTTCATCAAAGCTGAACGCCTCAAGATTCAGACCTGGTTCTTCAAACCAGCCACGAGGCACCTCACTGCCCAGCATCCAGTCCTCATGTCTCCCTTCTGCCCACAAGGCTATGGTGGGTGACTCCTGGATCACGCTGCCCTCTGTCAAGATCCCCTCCCTGCCAGCTGGCAGCAACTCTCTGAAGAGGAAGTGAATTTAGGGAGGCAGTGTGGAATCGTCAAAGAGGAAAGACTTTGGAGTCAGACAGATGGTGACTTTGACACTTGTGCCCCAAGGGAACAAGTGAATCACTCTGTATCTCTGAACTTCAGTTTCTTCCACTATAAAAAGGGGAGACTTCTGGACCTGGAATAGCTTTATGAGAATGAGAGATACAGATTCTAACCTTCCCGGCTCACTGGAGCAGGGCAGTGAATAAGTGCTCTAAGTAGACATGATGGACATGATAATGTCCCCTACTATTTGGCTCTTGGCAGTAGACAGCCTTGGCTTGCTTTCCAATGACATTTGAAATAACCTAGGGGAAACAATCATGTCACTGGACACGAATGTGCTTTATGACTCTGGGCAAGTCACTTTCCCTCTCAGCTTCCTCCCCTGAAAAATGAAGGGACAGGACTGAATGGGTTTTTAAGGTTGCTTTGAGCACTCCTGAAGATCTGACACCTCATGGTGACTGGCACTGTGCTGGCTGCATCTCAAGCACACAAGGGAAGGCTTGAGGGTGACTCCCGGAGGGAGGTGGGGGCTGGGGGTGGGGCTGGCTTACTGCAGGCCGCCTACCTCACCTTGCGAGCCTCCCTTACCGAGCAAGGGGGGAAGCCAGTTGACGTTGGCTTCACAGTGTGAGTCCAAGAATGTGATGACATCCCCAGTTGCTGCTGAGGCCCCCAGCATCCGGGTCCTTATCAGTCCTTCCCGTTTCTTGGTTCGGAGAATCCTCACACTGGGGAAAAGGGCCATGTAGTCTTCGAGGGGCTTCTTTAGGTGCTCTGTTGGGGAGAAAGAAGGGGACAGAGGGACAGATGGGTAAGAACAGATGCTGAGTAACCAATCTTGTGATCCTTTCTTTACATGTACACTGGACTTCACAGTTTAGACGCAGCTTTTCTGGTACTGTCTCATCGGACCTCTCAGATAGGGCCAAGAAGGGCAGGAATCATCACCTGTGTGCTGCGAAGGGGGAAGCTGAAGCTTGAAGAGGTCCGGTGTTAGTGTCAGACCTGGAACACAGAGAGATCTTCTGTACAAGGGAGTTGGGCTGTGGTTTATGCCTGGCTGGGACCCATTCCTTCATTTTGGGCAACAATACTCTGATTTTTCTTTGGGAAACTGCCCCTCCCCTTCTCAGTCCATCAGACTTGGGTGGGCCTGACCCCATCTCCTGGTTCCCAGGGGGAGGACCACATAGCTTGGGCCTGCCCATTCAGGGTATCCCATTCCCTTGGCCACAGTGATTGGCTCAGGGATGGCCATGTGACCTGAGCTGGTCCAAATAATGAATCCTGATCATTTGTTTCAGAACTACTGAAAAATGAAGCCCTTTCTTCTTAGAGTTGCTAGGTTGGTTGGCCAGAAGCCTGGAGCTGCTCATGACCTCTTCAGAAAACGAAGGGGATGAGAGGTAGTGGGAGGATCTGCTGACAGTGAAGTTAAACATGAAAGAAGAGTCAAGAGATAGAGAGAGACATTATCCTGATAACATTTTGATTCCCCAGATCCCCCTGTGTCTCAAGCAGACAGACTCCTAGATGTTCTTATTACACGTGACAACCAATTCTAATTCCTCTTTTTGTTTATTCTGATGTAGGCTGGGTTTCTGGCCCATGCCTAGATAAGTTCTTCTAAATAAATCTCAAAGACAGTCTCTTTCTGCTAAAATGCCAGCCTTAACGTTGGTGTCTCTTGATATTAATCAGGGTTGGGACCCTTTATAAAAACTCTAGTGTGGCTACAAAAACCCCCTATAGTTTATATCATACTTAATGGAGAAATATTGAATGCTTTTCTCCTATGATGAGGAGAAAGGCTGTATACTCTCTGACCACTTCAAAATTGTCCCAGGATTCCTAGCCAGAGCAAATGGCAGAACAAAGAAATAAAAGGCATAGATCCTGGAGAGTAAAAGGCAGCAGTGTTTTTAATTGTAGATGACATGATTGTTTACACAGAAAAATCTTAAGAAATTTAAAAGAAACTAGAACTAACAGGTAAACTTAGCAAGATTTCAGGAGCCAGGCCACTATTTAAAGATCAATTGTATTTCTTCAGACTAGCAAATAAGAAAGCAATTGAAAAATGCAATTAAAATGGTAAAAGTACCATTTACAAGTTAACAAAGGAAGTACAAAATGTATACTCTGAAAACTACAAAACAGTGTTGAAAGAAATGAACAACTGAAATTAATGGAGAGATAGTCCACGTTCATGGATCTGATGACTTCATGTTTAGATGGCAATACCACCTATGTTGATCTACAGACTCAATGTGATCAAAATCACAGCTGGCTTCTTTGCAGAAACTGACAACTGAGAAGCTGACCCTAAAATTTACGGAAATGCAAGGAATCAAGGGATCCAGAATACCTAAAAAACCTTTTGATTACTTATACATGAACATTCATAGCAACACTATTCATAATAGCCAAATGGTGGAAATAACCCAAATTTCCATCACCTCATAGGCAGATAAACAAATGTGGAATATATCCATACAATGGAATATTACTCAGCCAAAAAAGGAATGAAGTACTGACATGGGCCATAATGTAGATGAACCTAGAAAACATTATATTAAGGTAAAAGAGGCCAGACACAAAAGGTCTGATATTATATCACTCAATTTGTATGAAATTCCACAGAGACAGAAAGCAGATCAGTGATTACCATGAAATGGGGTGAAGGGGATAGAGAGTGACTACTTAGTAAGTATGGGGTTTCCTTCTGGCGTGGTAAAAATATTTTGCGACTAGATAGAGGTGATGGTTGCACAACATTGTGAATGTGCCAAATGCCAATGAATCTTTTACTTTAACATAGTATTGTATATTTTAACATGGTTAATTTTAAAAAATGGGTAAAGGATATGAATAGGCACTTCTCCAAAAGAATATACACAAATGGCCAATAAACACATGAAAAGATGCTCAACATCATCAGTCACCAGGGAAATATAAATCAAAACCACAATGAGATACTACTTCACATCCACTAGGATGGCTATAATGAAAAAGTCAGGTAACAACAAGAATTCTCATACACTGTAGGTGAGAATGTAAAATGATGCAGCCACTTTGGAATATGGTCTGGCAGTTCCTCAAACAGCTGAACAGTTGCCACATAACCCAGCAATTCTACTCCGAGGTATACACTCAAGAGAAATGAAAATATACGTCTGCAAATAAACTTGTACACTAATGTTCATAGCAGCAATATTCATAATATACCCTATTTAAAAATCAAATCATCCAAATATCCACCAACTGATGAATGGATAAACAAAATGAAGTACATCCATGCAGTGGAAATACAATTCAGCAATGAAAAAATAAAAAACAAAAAGAATGAGCTATTGCAATAATATGGACGAACCTGAGAAACAGTATGCTGGGTTAAAGAGGTCAGACACATCAGAACAAGACATTATCTGATTCTATTTATGAGAAATTTCTAGGAAGGCAGAACTAGAGACAGAAAGAAAATCAGTGGTTTCCTGGAGCTGGGATGGGATTGAGGACTGACTGCAAAAAAGCAAAAGGGAACTTTTTGGAGTGTTGGAAATATTCTAAAGCTGGATTATGGTGACAGTTTCATAACTGTATACACTCAGTTAAAAACACATTGAACTGCAGGCTTAAAATGAGTGATTTTTATGATCTAAATTATATCTCAATAAGGTTGTTAAATTCTTAAAAAAAAGAAAGAAAAAATCAATTGTATTTCTATATACTGCCAAAGAACAAGTGGAAAGTACAATAAAATAGCATTTATAATAGCCTCATATAGATAAAGACCCAAATAAATGGAGAGATAAATCATACATCTACATTAGAATATTCCATATTGACTTCTGATGTGACTTCCTCAAACTGATCTATGGAATCAATGCAATCACAATAAAATCACAGCAAACTTTTTGAAATTGACAACTTACTCAAAAGATTTCTATGGAAATGCAAAGGACCTAGAATAGTCAAAACAACCTTGAAAAAGAACAACAAAATTGCTAAACAATGTAAGTCAGAGAGAGAAAGGCAAATATGGTATGATTTCACTCGTATGTGGAAACTTAAAAAAAAAAAGAATAAATGAACAAACAAAACAAAACAAACACAGATACAGAGAGCAGACTGGAAGTTACCAGACGGGAAGGAGAGTGGGGTGAAGGCAAAGTGGGTAAAGGAGGTCACCTGGGTGGTGACTGATGGTGACTAAACTTTTGGTAGTGAGCATGCTGTAGTGTGTACAGAAGTCGAAATACATGTATACATGAAACTTATATATTGTTATAAATTAATGTTATCTCAATGAAAAAAAAACACACCCATGGAAAGAATAAGAACAAACGTTTCATAGTAGCGTTATTCATAGTAGTCCCAAACTAGAAACAACTTCAATGTCCATCAACAGGTGAATGGATAAACAGATCATGGTAGAGTCACACAATAGATTCCTACTCAGCAAAAAAAGAAAAAGAATTTGATACATCCAACCACATGGGTGAACTTCGAATTTATTATGTTGGACCAAGGTGGCCAGACACAAGAAAGAACCCAGTGTACGGTTTATTTAAAGTTCATCAACAGCCAGAACGATCTGTGAGGACAGAATTAAGAACACTGTTTGCCCATGGGGTTGGGGACTAACTAGAGGGAACACGAGGACACTTTCTAGGAAGAGGCAACTCCTCTGTCTTGACTGGGGTGTTGGCTTCCCAAGTATACACGTTTGTTAAACCTCATGGAATTATATACTTGCATTTTTTCACTGTTTGTAACTTTCACCTCAATTAAAAAAAAATACCAATCAAAACACATATTCATTCTCTCTCTCTCTCGGCTGGGAAAGGTAAAGTGTAGTAGGAGTGTCACTGACTGGAGAACTGGGCTGTACCGCCACCTCTGGCATAGTGAGCCCATCCCTGGGCCACAATCCTGTCTCTGGATCAGAAGGTCTTCAGGGGCTGTGGGCCAGGATTCTTGGGAGCTCAGGTTGTAGGTGACTGGAACAGCTGGGCTCTCCACTCTTGCCAGCCCCTGGGGTGCTCCATCACCTTCCCTAACCCAAGCCCTGAACCCTGCTCTGAATTCACTCCAACAGCGGTGAAAGCTGGAAGGGCCCCTCTACATCAGGGGCTGTGGCTGAATCACCTGATAAGCTGGCTGTAAATTCAGCTGCCTGGGCATCCTCCCAGGCGAGTGTGATTGGGTAGACCGAAGGCAGCATCAGTATCTTTGGTTTTATTTGATTGACAGGTAATTCTGATCCATTGGAGTGGTTCAGTCTCTCCATTTTATAGACAGAAAGCTAAGGTCCAGAGAAGAGAAGGGCCTGCCTTTGGCGTGTAGTTAACAGCAAGGCCCAGTTGCCCTGGCTGCTTGATCCAGAGCCCACTGAACCTTTCTTTTCTCTAACCCTGTATAGAAATGAACCAGTTTCACTGGTAAAGCAGATTACGACTTGCAAAGGAACTTCACGTATTTTATTTCCCTTGATTCACAAAAATCATACTGTCTTAGGCTTCTCCCATTTAACAGAGGAGAAAACTGATGTTCAGAGAAGCTAAGAAACTCACCCGAAGTCACACAGCCAGTAAATTGCTAGGTTCTCTGTAGAAACATGAGGCTTTCCTCTCTCTAGTTGTGTTTTCCCAACATCTCACCATCATATACTATTGGCATGATTTTTGCCACTTCCACCTACCTTATTACAATTTACTTACGGTTTTTTTTTAAGTCAACTCACTTCTTGAAATTTTTTTATTAAAAACAGT